CCTCAGCCTCCCAGGTAGCTGGGATTATAGGTGTGTGCCACCACACCTGGCTAATTTTTGTATTTTTTAGTAGAAGCAGGGTTTCACCATGTTGACCAGGCCGGGCTTGAACTCCTGACCTCAAGTGATCCACCCACCTAGGCCTCCCAAAGTGCTGGGATTCCACGTGTGAACCACTGTACCCAGCTAGATTTGTCTATTTCTTTTAATCTGCCAGTTTTACCTTCATATATTTTGAAGCTGTGTTACAGGGTCACAAACCTTTGTGGTGGTTATATCTTCCTTATGAATTGACTGTTTTTTTTTACTATGAAATGTCCCTTGTAGACAGCTCTTTTATTCATTCTGACAATCTCTGATACTTAATTGGAATATTTAGTTCATTTACATTTAATGTAGTTCTTATGTTTGGATTTGGATATAACATTTGCTGTCTGTTCATTCAGAAACAGTCTGATTTGAACAGTTTGAACAACCTGTTTTCTGTTCTTCTTTCCTGCCCTCTTTTGGGTTGATACGATATTTTTTAGAATTTGATGTTAATTTTTCTATTGACTTTTTATCTATACTTCTTTGCTTTTTATTTTTAGTGGTTCCTCTAGTGATAAAATATACATTCTCAACTTTTTGCAGTGTGCCTAATAATGTACTGCTTCTGGTAAAATATGTTTCTTGTAATAGGTCATTCTATTCTCATTTTAAGGAATCTAAGTTAGGAATGCTACGTGTAATGCCTAAGATACCTAGCTGATAACTACCTAATACCTAAATTTCAAAGGTTAAACCAAACTTATATTTGCAGAATATAGCCAGTTTGGTTTTGGTATATATTATTTCCTTTTTTAAATTTCTGTGTTCTGTGTCCTAACATTTTGTTTAAGAGTTCGGCTTCTATATGAGTAAGAGAAACTGGCTTGTAAATTTCCTGTATTATAATGTTCTTGTCAGATTTTCTTATCAAAGTTATGCCGAACTCATAAAACGAGGTGAGAATATTTTCCCCTTTTTCTAAACCCTGAAAGGGTCTGCTATAGATTAGCATTACATTTTTCTTAAGCATTAGGTAGAATTGGTTGGTGAAACTATCTGGCCCTAAACTTTTCTTTGTAGAAGGTTTATAATTACATATTCAGGTTTATGTCATGATTTTATGAGTATGTAGATTTCCTTTTCTTGTGTCGGTTTTTGATAAGTTCTGTTTCTACATTTCCTGTAAATGTTTACATTGATTGGCAAAGCATTATTATGTGTTATACATATTTTTTGTTTGCCTTTTCTCTTCTCTATTATCTTTATCAATTTTGCCAGGAGTTTATTTAAAAAATTCTTTCAAAGGATGATCATTTGGCATTGTTGATCATTTTCATTGTATTTTTTAGTAATCTCTGCTTTCTGTGTTCAATTTTCTGTTATTTTCTTAAGTTTTTGAGATAGATTCTTTGATAACTGATTAATAGTCCCTCTTCTTTCCTAATACAGATGCTCCTTGACTTACAGTGGGGTTATATCCCCATAAATATATGCTATAGCTTAGCCTGTCCTACCTTAAATATGCTCAGAACACTTAACATTAGCATGTAGTTGGGCGAAATCATCTAACACAATGCCTATTTCGTACCGAAGTGTTGAATCTCATATCGTTTATTGAATATTTTACTAAAAGTGAAAAACAATGATTGTATGGGTACTTGATTTACAGTTCTACTGAATACGTATTACTTTTACACCACTGTAAATTGAAAAATTGCAAGTTGAGCTATCATAATAAGTTGGGGACTGTCTGTAATATTCATTTAAGTCCCTAAGGTACAGCTTTAGCCGTATTCTACAAATTCAACACGTATTGTTACTCATTATTTAATTCAAATATTTTATAATTTATATTGTGAGTTCTTTGAACTCTGTTCCTTACTGTCCAAACATTTGGAGATTTTCTTCTGATATTTTTGTTATTTCTAGTTTCTTGTATTGTGATCAGAAAACATATTCTGTATGGTTTCTGTCTATTGAAATGTATTGAGACTTCTGTGGCCTGGCATACGTCAACCTTTTTTTTTTTTTTGAGACAGAGTTTCACTCTTGTTGCCCGAACTGGAGTGCAGTGGCACGATCTTGGCTCACCGCAACCTCCGCCTGGGTTCAAGTGATTCTTCTGCCTGAGCCTTCCGAGTAGCTGGGATTACAGGCACGCGCCACCATGCCCAGCTATTTTTTTGTATTTTTAGTAGAAATGGGGTTTCACCACGTTAGCCAGGCTGGTTTCGAACTCCTAACCTCAGGTGATGCGCCCGCCTCGGCCTCCCAAAGTGCTGGGATTACAGGTGTGAGCCACTGCACCGGGCCCCATATGTCAACTTTGGTAACTATTTCGTGGGTACTTGAACTGAAACTGCTTTGCAGTAGTGTGCAGTGTTCTAGCAAATGTTTACTAGGTCAAGGCTGACAATCGTTATTAAAGTCTTCTATATCTTTACTGATTATTTTGTTTGTTCTTGCTGAGTTATTTTAAAATCTACCATTGTGCTTGTGGATTTGTCTACTTTTATTTCAGTAAATTTTTCTTTATTGATAAATTTAGACTTCTTAAAATTTCCAAGTGAACTAATTTTATTATCAATATTAAGTTAAAGTGTGCCTCTTTAATTTCATAATGGTTTTTTGCCTCAGCATCTTTGTCTGATATGAATATAGCTGTATCAATTTTTTGATTTTTGTTTACATAGTCTGTCATTTTTATTTTCTAATTAGAACTTTATCTCTTTTTTTTTTTGGAAGTTTTTCTTGTAAATGGCAAAGAAATATATTTTATTTGGACAATCTTTATCTTTCGTTTAGACTGTTTAGTCCATTTCCATATAATGTGCTTTCTAATATATTTGGATTTAAACTTAGTATTTTACTGTTTGCTTTTTATTTATTCCATGTCACGTTTTTCCCACTTTTTTTGTGTCCTTTTGGACAGATTGTTTCCTATAACTTTATTATCCCCTTTTATTAGGTACACATTCTTTTGTTCTATTAATGGTTACCCTAGAGATGACAATAGATACTATTGATTTATCATACTCTAACATAAATTAGAACTTTAATTTCCTCCCTACAGCATAGTGACTCAGAATGTTACAACGACACTTGTGCTCCTTCCGACTAATATACATTTGTTGTCATAGCTTTTAATCTGTTGATTTCAACAAAACTTGTTTTATTGTTTCATAATGTCAATCAATATACGTATATATTTTGTATATATTTACCATTTTGTTGCTCTTAATTTTTCCCTGTGTCACCGATCTTCTATCTAGAGTCATTTTCCTTGAACCTGAAAACATTCTTTAGATGGTTTCTTTAGTGTGGCTCTTTTGGTGACGAATTGGCTCACTTTCTGGTTGTCTGAAAATCTTTACCCTTCATTCTTGAATATCATCCGTAGGTATAAAAATATAGGTTGCTTTTATTATCACTTTGAAAATATTCTGTAGTACCTTCCATTCTTTTTCCTGCAAGGTCAGCTACTTGTCTATTTGTTTGTTTGTTTGTTTGTTTTTGTTTTTGGTTTTTTTTTTTTTGAGACAGGGTCTTGCTGTTGGCCCAGGCTGGAGTACAGTGGTGCTGTCACGGCTCACTGCAGCCTCATTCTCCTGGGCTCGAGCAATCCTCCTACTTCAGCTTTCCAAGTAGCTAGTGATATAAGCACAAGCCACCCTGTGCCCAGCCAATTTTTGTAATTTTGTAGAGATGGGGTTTTGTCATGTTGCCCAGGCTGGTCTCGAATTCCTGGGCTCAAATGATCCGCCCGCCTTGGCCTCCCGAAGTGCTGGGATGACATGTGTGAGCCACCGTGGCCAGACCGGTTGTTGCTTTTTTGTAGGTGATCTGTTGTTGTTTTTTCTGGCTGCTTTTAAAAAACATTTTTCTGTCTCAAGTTGTTTCAGTGAAGCACCTGCTTGTGGTTTTTTGTTAGTTTGTTTTTGGTTTTCATTTTGTTTTGGTTTTGGTTCTTAGAGGAAGATTTTGAATCTGTGGCTTGATTTTTTAAAAATCAGTTAAGTTTTCAGCTTTTATTTCTTCAGATACTTCTCCTGTATCACTTATTTTCTTCTATCATTTGGGATTCAGACTAGGTATCCACACCCTTGTTAAGTATACTTTTTTCTATAATTTTTCTGATTCTCGCATAGTTTTTTGTTTTATATAGTTTTTCTTCTTACATAATTTATTTTTGTGAGGTAATGATCAGTTATTTTCTTCCATATGGATACCTCATATACCTTTCTTCCCAATCTTTAAAACAACCCTGCCAAAATTATTTTTTGCCATTTTTACAGATATTATTCAGAGAGGTTAACTACCTTGTCCAAGTTCATAGAGCAGCCAAGCAATCAGAGCCAACATTTGATTCAAAGTCTAATCAATTCAATATTTCTTGCTCTTTATTATGTGAGGTTATGGTTCCTTTTTTCTATCTGTCTGTTTTTCTCACTTGATTTTTGGAGATGAGCTGTTATTCAAAATGTTATATATTAATGAATTAGTCTATCTTAAAATAACATTTTGCCATTTCACATATATTTATTAGATAAATAGAAATGTACAAATTTATGGGCCAAATATTATCCCCCTTAAGGAGTTTATTTTCTACATGGAAACAAGAATGTATACAGTTTATTCTAATAGAGGATATGAAGATATAGTTTCCATGCTTAGAAACAAATAAGAAGGTAGTGTCTCAAGTGATGGAATTAAGAAAGAGTTCATTGGGTAGGTAGAAGTTATCATGAAAAGAGGGTAATGTGAGATTTTTGTTTGTTTGTTTACAAGTGTGAAAAATACTGTTTGTTTTTAGAATTAAAGAAAATCTGTACTAATATTTCATGTTCTATTTTCCCCCAACAGATCTCTTTGTACATACTTTGTCACTAATTGAATAGTCATGTAAGCAGTGAAATTTTGTACGTCATGATACATTATACACAGTGATTGAAAAAGCCTTTTTTCTCCAGGTTATTTCATTTCTGGCTGCAGTTTTGCATAAAAAGGGAACTCGTGAGGATATTGAAAATAACATGCCAGAGTTTTTACTAAGAAGTATGAAAAAGGAACCCCCTTCTTCTACAGCAAAAAAGGTAAAATCTCTAGACATTTTCGACTCATGATGCTGGTATTACAAAAGCACATAGAAATATTTAAGTATCACACATTAAAATGTATTAGTATAAATTTTAAAACCTAAGAATTTAAAGATGTCATTAAAATATTTGTTTTATAGTTCTAATTTTTGAAAGATTACCAATTTTATTCCCAAGTTAAATTTGATTGACTATCATAATGGCAAAATGGAATTTCAGCTTGGGTTTGCTTTGGGGTTTTAATCTGTTGCTTGGCTGGATTTACATAATTTACTTAGGTTGATTTGTTAAACTTCCATGAATGTATATGTAAAGTTAATTGAAACCTTCGTTATATTGTTTTTTATTTATGTAAGAATGTAAAGGTGATAGTTACAGATATTGGTAACAAAAGTGCTTCATGACCTTATTTCAAGTTGTCTAGCTGACTAATTGCATCCAAAAAATATGAAATAAGTTCTACCAATACAGGAAAGTTGGAATCAGAAAGACTAGTCTGTGCTTATTTGTCTCTGCCCTTATGTCTGTGAATGCTATTCATACCCATCCTTCAGTTTTCTCCTTCATAAATGTATGCTTATAAATATATTATATATGATTCTTACAAAAAAGATTTCTAATAAGCAATGAAATATAAAAGAGTATATTATACTTACATGTCTTTTAAAAAATACTATCCTCAGCCTCCAGGAAACCAGATAAGAATAAAAATGAGGTGATTTTATGAAATCTTTTATCATATTTGGTAATGAACTACTTACCATAAGTTTTAAAACAGACTCGTTCATACAAGTGTTAAATACAAGATTGCTGAGAAGTCCAAGTTTACTCTTGTCTATCATAAAGACCATTTCAACGCAAACTTTTCAGAACTACTGGCTCAAGATATTATAATTGTTGTCATTTTAAATTCTCTTAGTTTTTCAATAGCATAAATGCATCCTGAGTATCAGATTCAATGTGATCCTGAAGATAATAATGGTACTTAATGTATTTTAAGTATTCAATAGCTCAAGTACTGTTTTTAGCTCTGAATTCAGTTGTTCTCTGGTTCTCAATGTCACTACAGAGCCTTTATATATCTTTCATGCCACTGTGACAGCAGACAGGAGAGAGAGCAAAAGAGGGAAAAGTAATATTTTAAATATATTAAAATACTTAAAGATATTTAAAATATTATAGAACAAGAATGGGCCAGGCACAGTGGTTCATGCCTGTAATCCCAGTACTTTGGGAGGCCAAGGAAGGGGAATTGCTTGAGCCCAGGAGTTAAAGACCAGCTTGGGCAACATGTCAAAACACCTTTCCTACTAAAAATACAGAAAATTAGCTAGGTGTGGTGGTGTGTGCCAGTAGTCCCAGGTACTTCAGAGGCTGAAGTGGGAGGATCACCTGAGCCTGGGGAGGTTGAGGCTGCAGTGAGCCATGTTTGCACCACTGCACTCCAGCCAGGGCAATAAAGTGAGACCCCTGTCTCAAAAAAAAACAAAAAAAGAACAAGAATGAAAGAAAATAAAGTTAACAAAGATACTCATTTGATAATGTGGTAAAATATGCTTGTAATAGTTACCTCAGTTGACTCAAATTCCTCTTCTACCTTTCTTTTTCTTCCTCTATATATATGTGTGTGTGTGTGTATGTATGCATATGTGGTGTATCATATCTCTCACACACACACACACACACACACGTACATATACAGTTGTCTCTTGGTGTCCATGTGGGATTGGTTCCAGGACCTCTCTTGGGTACCAAAATATGTGGATTCTCAAGTCCTTGATATAAAATAGTGTATTTACATATGGCCTATTATCGTCCCATATACTTTAAATCATCTGCAGTTTACTTAGTGCAATGTAAAGTCTACATAAATAGCTTTTATGTTGTTTTGTTTAGGAAATAATGACAAGGTCTGTGTACATGTTTAGTGCTGATGGAATTTTTTAGTATTTCAGTTTGTAGTTAATTGAATCCACTGTTATGAAACCCACAGATATGGAGGAATAACTGTAAATTCCTTGCTATAATGTACATCGCTATTTACCTTCTTCAGTTGATTTCTTAATTTATTTATTTTCAGTCTTTTTGTATTCTAATAAATTACCTTAAAACTATAAGTGTTCCTTTGGGCCAGGCATGGTTACTCACACCTGTAATCCCAGCACTTTGGGAGGCTGACGCGGGAGGATCGGCCAGGAGTTTGAGACCAGCCTGAGCACCATAAGGAGACTCTGTCTTTACAGAAAATAAAAAAAATAAAACAGCCAGTTGTGGTAGTGTGTGCCTGTGGTCACAGCTACTGGGGAGGCTGAGGTGAGGGAATCTCATGAGCCCGGGAGTTCTAGGCTGCAGTGAGCCGTGACCATGCCACTGCACTGCAGCCTGGGCAACAGAGAAGACCCTGTCTCAGAAAAAAGTTCCTTTCAGTACTCCTTTGGCTGTGTTCTATAGTTTTTAACATGTAGTCTTTTCATTAGTCTTTTCTAAATTATCTGTGGCCCCAATTTTTATTCTCTTTTACCCAAGTACTATTTAAAAGAGAAGTTTTAAAATTTCGAAGTGAATAGCTATTGTTGGGGCACAGGATGATAGGAGGGCTGAACCCTTTTTGACAATTTCCAGTTTTGTTGCATCAGATAACAGCCTTGATTTTTTTTATTTGTGATTACATCCATGGATCAGTTTTTATGCTTTGGTGTTGTGCATGGTATAGTCTCTGTTGTTTTAAAATGTTGCTTACGTTGTGCATTCTTTGTGACCATGGTCACATGGTTTTATATATTTCTATTTAATCATGTTTGTTAATTGCATTGTTAAAATGTTTAATAGTGTTATTTTCTTTTTGTCTGAGCATTTGGATCTGGAAATAAATATGTTAAATTTTCTTGTTATGACTTTCAGTTTATGTCTCTTTGTGTTCATACCAACTTTTGCTTAATGTCGTCCGTTAATTCTTCAGCAGCCAGGTGTGGTGGTTGGTGCCTGTAGTCCCAGCTACTCAGGGGGCTGAGGTAGGAGGATCACTTGAGCTCAGGAGGTTGAGGCTGCAGTGAGCCATGACTGCGCCACTGCACTCCCGCTTGGGTGACAGAGTGGGACTCTGTCTCAGAAAAAGAAAAAAATTCTTCGGTAAATTTTATGTGTTTGTATATTGCTCTCACACTTGATTGTCCATAGGCTTATCTGCCTATAGAATTTTAAGTTCAAAATTTTCTTTTATAATGACAAAACTCATTTTATTATCTTCTGTCACTCCGTGTTGCAGATGAGAGTTCAATGTCAACCCAACTTTTTTCCTTGGAAAGGATTTTTTTTTTAAAATTGTTTGGAAGTATTAAGGACTTTTTTAATTGATGAAATTCGGAAATTTCCATGAACCCTAACACTCACTGTAGAATTCTTCCAAATAAATTTTGCTTTAGAAAAATATATACAGTGCTTTATGCAGGGAAAGTTGCATACTGATGCTAGAATCAGTTTCTTTGATGACTGGTGTAACTTTTCCTTCTTAAAATTACTTGGCCATTTTTTTTCTTGACTCAGTCTTTCCAACTGCCTTAGCTGTTTTGTTGAGTTTTGTTTTGCTTATCGTTGTTTTTTAGGTTCCTTCTAGGAAAAGTAAAGATTTTAGTGGGGGAGGGCAGGGAGAGTTTTCGCTTTCGGAGGTGTAGGATGGGTTGCTCAGTTCTTCAGGTGTGCCGTTCTCATCTGCTCCTGCGCTGTTCTGAGCTGCTGGTGCTGCCCTTACAGGCATTCTACCACTATTATGGATTTATTAGGTTTGTTCTTTTGTTTCATTGGCATCAACACAAACATGTGTTGAGTTAGTCATTTGAACTGGAATTTAGAGTTTTTAATGGAATCACCAGTGACATTCCACAGTATTTCCCAGAAGTAAATACAAACAAAAATTGTAACTTTGAAAGTTTTGAAAGATAAATTTGTATTGGTTCATTTAAAACGATGTACGTTTTAAAAAGACGGTTTATGAAATGGAGAAGAAATCAGTTCTTTTGTATTTATTATGCTAATGCCAGAATTACAATTGAATTCTGAAAAATTAATGGTGAAGCTTGTTGAAGAAAGCCCTTTAATGAACTGAGTGTTACAAATTGAGGAGTGGTGGGTCTAAGGTATGTGTGTGTGATACGATCCATCTCATATACATTTAAAAACTTTTCAAATGTGAATAAATCATCTAAGAATGCATGAATGTTTTGTGCCAAGAATAAATTCTTAAAGGAAAAGACAGAAGCTCTACATTTTAAACATTGATTTTTGGAATGGCTCTTTAGATGTAGGCTAAGTTTTGATTGAAATTCAGTTTTTATGAATCATAGTAAATTTATTATAAAATATTATCTTGCATGATGAAGCTTTAGAGATGCTAAGTAAAATTCATAATTAATACAAAAGAGGAGGATTTTTGTAGCAATCATAATACGAGCATCAGAAACAATTTCAATGACAAACAAAAATATTTTATAATTATTTTATTTACTATACACTATTTTTTTAGTTCTTCATATGTACCAAGAGAATTATGTTGCACTTGATGCTCCTGTGAGCATCCTTATGCATATATCTTGACAACTTTTGCAACAATAACTAAGGTAAATTCTTAGTACTGGAATTGGATAGTAGAGCTGGATTTAGGGGATTACTTTTCGATAACTGGAGTTAAATTACCCCTTATCCCCACCAGTGGTGTATAAGAATGTCTGTTTCCACCTTTTTATTTGCACTAGGTATTAGCAAACATAAATTTATGACTATCTGCAAGATTTAAAATTTTTATCTTGCTTTGATTTACATTTCTTTATGAGTGAAGCTGTAGCGTTTCAGATACTTAAAAGCTATTTTTAAATCTAATTGGTTTTTAATCATAGTCTTTGATTAATAGTCCTTAACGATATATCCTGGAATCTAATTTTTTGCTCATTATATGTTTTGAAAATATTTCTTTGTCATATAGAGTCAGCTTTGAATTGTGTATTGATTTTTTACAAATGTTTAGGTAGTTACAGGTATTGGTCTTTATAGTTTCTGGGTTTTATGTTTGCCTAGAAAAACCTTTTGTACTCTAAAATTATAAGTACATTCACTCATAGTTTCTTTATAATATGTGAGATTTCATTTTATACCTTTATATCTTTGTTTCAGCTAGAATTTATTTTGCTGTAGGTGTCTAGTAATCCAATTTTATTTTTCTCAGGTGGTTAGCCAGTTATCTTAATGTCATTTGTTGAATAAGTTCGCTTTTCCACAGTGATTTGAAGGGCCACTTTTGTGTAAAATTAAACTCATTTCTATTTCTAGACATATTGTTCTGTCCTAATTATTGTTCATTTCTCTTCCAGTGCTAAACAGTTTTAGTTATTTTAGCTTTATAATATAAGTTATTATTTGGTAGTTTCTCCTCAAGTTTTCTCAACTTATGAAAAATAAATTTTCTCCAATTTCTCCTCAAAACCTATTGATATATATTAGTTGATATTGTGTTGAATTTATAGTTAACTTTGCTTGTGACTTCCATTCTTATATTTCTTATTTACTTCTCTTTTTTAATTGCAAGAGTTGATATTTATTGATCTGGTTTGTAACTTTCTGTTTTGATAGACTATCAAGTTTTGGCATAATGCCAAACTTTAGTACTTCATGTGGTACTTAGAAAATAGAAGGTGTTCAGTTGATGAATTAATTAATAAATGAAACCACACGTGTCGATGCTAAGTTAGGAATAACAATGTATGTTCAGAGGACAGTGACAGTAAACTTGAAACAGAGGTTCCACATGGGAATAAGTGTGACATCAAAATGAAAAATAAATTATACCTTTACAGAAAAATTACAGAATGTAAAATTGGAATCTTTGCTAGAAAACTCAAAGTTCTAAACAAAAAAATTTTCGTATTTATCTCTCCAATCTTATCTCTCTCAAAAATACCCAACATAGTGAATATAGTTAATGCCAAAATTTGATATTCTATCAAAACTTATGCTGTTTTTATACAAAGGACTTGGAAGGGCCCCTGACTAGTGGATTCTAAACTGAAATTTCTGTATATTAAATAACCTCTGTATACTGAAGGAAAAAATGATCAGCTATGCACACAATAGGGTATAAACTATGTTGGGTATTTCTGAGAGAGTTAAGATTGTAGCAATAAATACGAGACTTTTTTTTTTTTTTAGAACTTTGAGTTTTCTGCAAAGAATCCCAATTTTACGTTCTGTAATTTTTCTGTAAAGGTATAATTTATTTTTCATTTTGATATCGCATTTCTTCCCGTGCGGAACCTTTGTTTCAACTCTGTTGTAATCTGTCACTGTCCTCTGAACATATGTTGTTATTCCTAACTTAGCATCGACACGTGTGGTTTCATGTATTCATTCATTCACCAATTGAACACCTTCTATTTTCTAGGTACTATATGAAGTACTGAAGTTACAGTGATAAATAAAGTTACACATCTCAAGGACGTAGACTTTTTGATTGAAGGTGCTAACATGATATGTCATGGTAGTTAAGAGTTTTAGAATTAGGCAGACCTGGGTTCAAATAGTTGCTTTGCTACTTAATAGCAGTATGACCTTGAGTGTGTTATTTAATATCTCTGTACCTCAGTTTCCTCATCTGTGTTTCTGAGTAAAGTCCCTGAGTTAATTTCTGTAAACTGCTTCTAAAGCCCTTGCTCAGTAATGGTTATTATTAATACTATTACTACTTCTGCCACAAAAATTATCACACATTAATCTTTGAGTATCTGATCACAGTCCACACCACATCGTTTTCCTATGCCGTAGTTCCTGAGGAATCAGATTTGATAGAAAACTCCTTAATAATTGAGCTAGATTTATTGAAAGATACACATAATTCAGTATTCTCTAGTTGTACTATTTAACCTAGCTTCTGTTAATTTTAATAATATTTAAGCAAGTGAATTTTAATTTTATTTGTGTTAATTTTATATCCAGTTTTATAAACTTGTGTTTTAGCTTCAGAATAAGAATTATCACCCTTCCCCCCGTCTACAGCAATACCACTCTGAACACACCACATCTCTTCTGATCTTGGAAGCTAAGCAGGGTCGGACCTGGTTAGTACTTGGATTAGAGGAATAGCTCCAAGAGTTGCTTTGTGTGTAGTGACTTAGCAGCTGGACACTGCTTTCTGTTTTATTGTCTTGGCATCATTTGCTTAAAAAAGACTTATTCAATGAAATATTATTTATTGGATTGTAGGAAATGCTAAGTTCTTAATGTACTTCCCATGGACTCTACATAATAGCACAACTCAGTTCTCTGACATCTTTCACTACCAAAATGAATTTTTGAACCATTATTTCACCTTTCATAATTTTGAAGACCAAAGTTTCTAAGAAATATCAAAAATTATGTTGCCACCTTAATTTTTAAACATCTTCTGGAATCTTAGGGCTGATGCCGGGACTCTTTAGATTCATTGGCACCTTTGATGCATGGCCTCTCAAGTGGAAAACTACTAAGAGTGCTCAGATGCAGTTTGCACCTAGCATTGTCATCTTGTAATATGCAAACAAATCAAAGGGAGATGCTGTAATTGGACTTAGTACTTGGAGACCTAATTTCATATTCGAAAGTCAAAGAAAAATGGAAATCATAGGATTAACTTTCCCCCAAAGGACAGACATACTTGGCGATGAATCAAGTATAAGAAGTACTTACATTTGATGGTGGCTTGGGAAAAAGGAACTCTCACATTCAGCATATTGATTTTCTTTCTTCTTCTTCTTTCTCTTTCCAAAACATAGTCACATATTTGACTTTTTAGAGTGGACAAGTGGCCTAGATGAAATGTTTCACAGAAAACAGGGCAGAATTTAGAGCAGTATTGTATTATTTCTTTGTTAAACTGAATTTTTTCTGTATGTTTAATTGGTTCATCTCTGTCAAGTAGATCAAGTATAAAACTTTAGAAAAGAATCGTACTGGTAACCCTTTTAAACATAACAGGATAGGAATAGTGGTAACAGGGAGAAATAAAAACATTAAAAAGTTAAAATGGTTGATGACAGAGGATTCTGGGTTAGTACAGGAAAGGTACATGAATGTGAGGAATAACCAGAGAGATGTTGGTGATCCTCAGAGGGACTGATTGGTAGGCATTATTAGGGCAGAAGTCCTATTTACCTGAGTTTCAAGAGAGAACAGGAGGAGAGTTAAATATTGATAAGTCTTGAGGATCTTTGCTATAGGGAGAGTAGAGTAATGAGGTAATAGCTAGAGACAGATGTTGGGCTAAGGAAAAGAGGTTTTTTAAAATTTTCTTTTTTTGAATTTTTTTAACTCTGGGAAATATTTGAACATGCTTGTCCATAGGTGAGATCGTTCATTAAAATAGAAGAGTTAATCAGGTAGGGGAGATTGGGGGCACTTTCTGCAGCATTGACTTTAGGTTGGCAAGAAGGAATGGGAGCCACTGTGTACATTCAGGGGTTGTTTTTGGAGAAGAACATGAACAGCATATCCATGGCAACAGGTGGGAGGGCAAAATATATGGAAATGAATATAGATAGGTTATTGATACGATACTGAGAGAAGTTCATCCAGGAAGTTTTCTTCTGATTGCTTCAATTTTCCAGTGAATTTTCCAGTTCTCTGAGAGTATCTGAGAGAGGGGAAGAGGAAGTGGACTAGGAAAATGCAAAAGGAAGGAGAGCTCAAGGAGACCGTATATTTCAAGAAGAACACGTGGCCTGCTGGTGTGTGTACATTACCCACTTGGCCTTTGAAGCTATTATTGAGATCCAGATTTTATTCTTTTCTCTCTTTTGGAAAGTTACTTCTCTCTTATTTCTAAATGCCTTTTTGGTAGGGGGAAATAAAAAACACGTGTTTCTTTGAGCAAGGTTAGGTGTCTATTATGTCCTGATCAAAAGCTAATTAAACAGCAAAGTACTTTTTGAGAATCTTCAATGTCCAGATACAGCTAATCACTCAGTTGTATTTATTGTTACTAACTAGATGTCAAAATGAAGGAAGAGGACTATTGATATTCTTGATTGCACTTTGGGATTATTTTTCAGTTTTTAAAAAACAACATTTTTTTATCCTTCTTTTAGATGTTCTTAATAGTTGCTCCTCTTTCTGTCCTCTACAACTGGAAGGATGAATTGGACACCTGGGGATATTTCAGAGTCACTGTTTTACATGGAAACAGAAAAGATAATGAACTAATTCGTGTAAAGCAGAGGAAATGTGAAATTGCTCTAACAACTTATGAAACACTGCGCTTATGCCTGGATGAACTTAACAGGTAATGGGAATAATAGGCATGATTGTATTAATATTCTGCTTACATCCCTTTACATTAAGTTTTTTTTTTTTTTTTTTTTTTTTTGAGACAGAGTCTTGCTTTTGTGTTTTTAGTAGAGACAGAGTTTCGCCACATTGCCCAGGCTGGTCTGAAACTCCTGAGCTCAGGCAGTCCACTCACCTCGGCCTCCCAAAGTGCTAGGATACAGGTGTGAGTCACCCTGCCCAGCCTATACTGTGATTTTTTAAAAAGAAGTAATGATTATTCCTTTGCTTGATTTAATTTCATTTTAGAATTGTTGAAATATTAATTCATAATAACTTATTCTCTGAGAAGGAAAAACCTGCATCAGGTTTCCTAGAATTTCTTACTGTATTTCTTACATTGATTACAGGATACTTCTTCAAACAATGATTGTTAAAGAGTGATAAGACTTGTCCTAAATCTCTTGTACAGCCTTTTATGCAGACCCTGTCTCTGAACTAGGTCAGTGATTTTCATGAATTATTTCAGTTATGGGAGTCTGTTGTGAATATAGAGTGGCAAAAAATACGCGCGCGCACACACACACACATACACAGAATCACTGTAGCATAGGGTGTAAGAGAGAAGTGGCCAGGTGGTAACACCAGTGAGATAAGCAGGGAATAGATAATAGAGAGTATTGGAAGGTACTTTGAGGATTTTGGTCTTTATCCTGAGAGCAATAGAGCGCCCCCTACAGTGTTGTCAGCAGATTACCAATAGGATAAAAATGATCAGATTTGCACTTTGTAAATACCTTAGTTGCTGTGTGTGCAGAGAGAGGAGAGCCAAGCTGAATGGAGAAAGACAAATTAAGAGGCTTGTTATGGTCTGAATTATGTCACTTCTTCTCAACCCCCTTCCACAGTTTAAATGTTCAGGGCTCAACCCCAGCACCTCAGAATGTAACTGTGTTTAGAGACAGGTCTCTTTGATTAAGTTTTAAAGAGGTGGTTAAAACTGAGGCTGATTGGGTGGGCCTGGGTCCAGTATGACTAGTATCCTTATAGGAAGAGAAAGAGACACCAAGGACACACACACGCCACAGAGGAAGGGACTTGTGAGGACCCAGCAAGAAGGCAGTCATCTGCAAGCCAAGGGGAGAGGCCTCAGGAGAAACCAAATTTGCTGACACCTTGCTCTTGAAATTCGAGCTTCCAGGATTGTGAGGAAATAAATTTTGGTTGTTTTAAGCCATCTAGTATGTGGTATTTTATTTTGGTAGCCTTAGCAAACCAATGCAAGGCTTTTATAGTAGTCTGGTCACAGGACCATGGTAGTGAGGTCTGAACTCTTCATAGTTGTTCCGGCAACGGGCTGGGCCTTGCTAAAATCATTAATTTCCATCTGCTTGGAGCCTAGATTTCTCTCTACAGGGATACGATTTTCACCCTTTAGGTGAAGATGAAAGCGTGGCATTAGAAACAGTTATCTAATAAGTCTTTAAAATGTTTAGACATTATAGTTATACTCAATTTGAACTACTGCTAACGAAGGAGTTAATGATATTCCCCCAAAGTCAACCGAAGTTTAGAAAACTAGGTAATTTTTTAAGGTGATACTTCCACATCAGCATTAAAATGATTTAGCATAGGATAAAAGAACAGTTGATACTTGTCTCAAATTTTATAATCACAAAATAAAGAGTAAAAAAATTACTAATTAGCTCTGTGGCTTTGGGTAAATCGGCTCATGTGGAAAATGACAGAGGATGAATTAAATCAGTCTTTGTGAAAACTAGCCCCTCGAGCCCAGCTGGAGAGTTGTATTAAAATCAACTTTAATGAGAGTTAATTTGTATAGAATAATTATGCCATTTCAGGTATACAGTTTGATGAATCTTGACCAGGGATTGGTAAACTTTTTCTGTAAAGGGCCAGATAGTAAATATTTTAGGCTTTTGGGCCTCATATAGTCTCAGTTGCATATTCTTCTTTTTTATTTTTATTACCCTTTAAAATGTGAAACTACTCTTAGCTTGCGAAGCATACAGAAGTGCCCGCGGGCCGGATTTGGCCATGGATGGTAGTATACTGACTCCTACCTTTGACAAAGGAGTGCAACCACTATCCCAAACAAGGTAAAAACTATTTTCATCATCCCAGAACTTTTCTCTTCCCTCTTTACAGTGGCTTTTCCTCAGTCCTCACCTTGGGCAACTACTGATTTTAATTTCTGCCACTGTAGATGAGTTTAAGCTGTTATGGAGCATCTCAATGGTATTACACAGAAAGCACCCTTTTGTGTGTGTTGCGTCTTTTGTTCAGCATGTTTTTTGAGATTCGTTGGCGTTGTGGAGTGTGTCAGTGACGGTTCTTTCTTCATGTTGCATTGTATTCCATTTATCAGTATGCACATTTTGTTGCCCATCCATTTGAGGATAGATTTTTGGGTTTTTCCAGTTTTGGATTATTATAGATAAAACTTCAAGGGATATTTGTGTGTAAGCCTTTTTTGGACATACGTTTTCATTTCTCTTGGAGTAGAATTTCTGTATTATGTGGTTTACTGTAGGTTTAGCTTTAGAAGAAACTGCCAAACCATTTTCCACAGTGGTTTTACTCCAGCTAGCAATGTGTGAGAGCTCAGTTGTTTCGTATTCTCAGCAACATTTGGTACTGTCAGTCTTTTCCTTTTAGTTATTTTAGTAGGTGCGTAGTAGTATCTTCTAGTGTAATTTGCATTTTTCTGATCCATGTGCACTTGGAAAACAATGTTCTACAGTTATTAGGTGTAGTGTTTATAAATGTCAATAAGACTAGATTGGTTAAGATGTTGTTCAAGTGTTTTCTGTCTTTGCTGATGTCCTTTTTGGTTGGCTTACAGTATCTGAAAGAGGAGAGTTGAAATCTTCAATTATAATTGTAGATATGTTTATTTCTCCTTTCACTTCTGTCACCATTTAATTTAGTATTTTGAAGCTCTTTTATGAGGTGCACATGCATTTATGATTTTTTTTGTGATGAATTGATCCTTTTATCTTTAAAAAATGCCTATTTATTTCTAATAATATCTCTTATCTTGATGTTTTATCTGATATGAGCATAGCCATATTGTGGTACATTTCAGTAGTCTGTTCCTTTTTATTGCCGATGGTACTATTATGTAGCTATCCCATATTTTGTCCATTCTCCAGTTGATTGACATTTGAATTATTTCCAGATTTTGACTATATGAATAATGCTGCTGTCTTATGCTGAGTCTTATGTTTACTGCATGTAAATAGCTTTTCATGTTTTTATTGCAGTATATCTGTTCTTAATATTTGGAGTGAGTCTCTTATAGTTCAGTCTTGCTTTTTCATCCATTCGGATGATCTTTGCCTTTTATTTGAGTATTTAGACCATTCACTTTGAATATAATTATTGGTAAAGTTGAACTTAGAGCTACCATTTTTGTCAGGTCTGGGATTTAATTTTATAAATCAAATTTGTAAGCTAATAAATTAGCCTGTTACTATTTCATGGATCCTGACAGAAGACTAATCTGAGGCATGGAGAGGTTAAATAATTTTTCTAGGCCTTGACAACTAAGTCAGTGGCAGACATGAGGATTGAACCTTGACCATCTAACGCCAGACCTCAGGTTTGGTTTTGTTTTGTTTTTGAGACAGAGTCTTGCTCTGTTGCCCAGGCTGGAGTGCAGTAGTGCTATCACCACTCACTGTAGCCTCAGTCTCCCATCTCAGCCTTCCAAGTAACTAGGACTACAGGCATGCGCCACCATGCCTGGAAAATGTTTTTATTTTTTGTAGAGACAGAGTCTCCCTGTGTTGCCCAGGTTGATCTCAAACTTTTGGACTCAAGCAATCCTCCCAACTCGGCCTCCCAAAGTGCTGGGATTATAGGTGGGAGCCCCCATGCCTGGCCAGACCTTAGGTTTTTAACCAATATACTGTACCACCCCAAAAGATGTTTTGCAATTCGATAAATGTAATAAATTCATCTATCATAGCATCAGTCATATTTTAATTATTTCTTACCTGTCTGTCCCCTTAGACTGTAAGCTCTTTGGTGTAGATTTTTATCTTTAAATTCTGTATCTCAGTACTTTTAGCACATAAGAGTTGCCAAATAAATGATTGTTAGGTGACTGTTTTTTCTGATTATTATAAATATTGTTATAAATATTAAATAAGAATTCTGAAGTAGAATTATATAATTATAAATCATATATTTATAAGATTAGAGAAATGTTTATGATTTTTGTTATATTTATTTAGTTGTATTTGTTTGTTCAAATGTCTCTGTTTTGTGTTTGGCAAATATTTAAAATAATTAATATTTTACCTGAGCAAATATTAAGTTGTTTTTGTGAGGACAGTGCTCTGTCCTTTTATCACGGATACTCCGTGGAGGGGATGAATGTGCTATGTAACATGAGTGAGCTATAGTATTTTTCTTATTGCTATTACATTTTTTTACTTCATTTCAGTTTTTATTAGAGTTAAGTAGGTATATGATTTAAAGAGCCAAATATGGTAAAAGGCTTCTAGGGAAACCTGCAGTTCACTGTCCCGCAGTTACCTTTACCTCAGCTCTTACTGATCTTCAGCGTCTTTACTTCCTTCGTGCTGAAGAACATGTTCATGCTGCAGCTTTTCCATTTTCCTTTAGTTTTCAGCATCATCTGCTGATTTCTTCTTAAGGAAAATTAGGACTTTTGTCCTTCTCTTGCCCGCTTTCGGATGACCCGGCCCATCTACTTTGTGCAGTGGGAGGATTCTTAAAAGGACTGTTGAGCATTTACATGACTCCAATTTCCAGAGCCATCTGGGGCCACCAATTCTTAACTTTTCAAGAATGTGTAAATAATATTAGATTGCTTCTTGGCTTTTTCCGCTATTGGCATAGGACAGTGTAGTCTCTGTTTTGTAAGCCATCTTGTCCATGTTCTTTTCAGCTTCTAGAATTTTTGCTATTTTCTCCTCTCTTTGTTCTTGAGGCTTCTAGCTTTTTTTCAGCTTTATATTAAGAACATGATGAAAGCTATAGAAAAGTTAAAATAACAGTACACGAACATCCATCCATATTCTCACTAGATTCAGCAGTTGTGTGTGTGTGTGTGTGTGTGTGTGTATTCAAATGTTGGCAAAATATGAGTTAATGTATGTAAATGTGTGTGTGTCTATGTCTGTGTCTTTGTGTATGGTGGTGGTGATGAGTCATTTCAGCAAGTCGCATAAAACATGACATCCTTATCCTGAAGTATTTTAGCATGGATTTCCTAAAACTAGTGATACTTGCTGTCATACCACATTATCATCGTCACACACGAGAATATTAATAGCAGTTAAAATTTCCTCAGTCATTCTCAAAACATCTTTAATATCTAATGCTTATAAATCAGGATTCAATAAAGGTTCAAATGACAAGTTTGGTTAAGTCTATTTATTCTTCTAATCTGTATCATTTTTCCAATTTGTATTTTTAAATTATATGGCTTTTTGAGGGGACCAGGCCAGTTGTTTTAGGATATCTCACGTATTAGATTTGTCTGATTACTTTCTCAACATACATTCCTCTGTCATCTGTATCTTAATAAAGTGGTTTTGGCCCAAAGGCTTAAATAGATTCAGATTAAACATTTTTGGCAAGAATGCTTCATAAATGATGCTGTGTGGACGTCATATTGCATCACTTCAGAAAGTATTAATGCCAAGTTGTTTGACTGTCAGTGATGCCAAGTTTGTCGCACAGGTTAAGGAGGTTACCATCATCAGATCTCTCCATTGTCAAGATACGTTTCTTGCTTTATAATGATCAGATAATCTGTGGAGTGATACTTTGCCACCATTTAAATATTCTTGTCCCTCAATCCTTTTACTTAGTAGTATCAGCACACGCAAATTATTCGTGTCTGAATCAGTTACTTTATTAGGTTTGGCAAAATAATATTTTTCTGATTTTATTATTTCTTTTCTACACATTTTAATGGTATTCTCCTGTAAAGGAAAGCTTTCTCCATTAATCAGGAATTAACCACAATTTTGGCTTTAAAAAAACAAGATGAATGTTTGATTCTTTTGCTTTAATGACCAATTTTTGGAGTAAGAAGTTAGCATAATGGTCATCTATACTGGTGGCAAAGTTTCTCACCCCTTCACTCGCTTTCTCTCCTTTCCTTCCTTCTTTCTCTCCTTCCTTCCTTCCTTCCTTCCTCTTTCTTTCTTTTCTCTTTTCTTTTTCTTTCTTTCTTTTTTCTCTTTCTTTCTCTTTCTCTTTTTCTTTCTTTCTTTCTCCTTCCTTCCTGTCTTCCTGTCTTCCTGCCTCCCTGCCTCCCTGCCTCCCTGCCTCCCTTCCCTCCCTCCCTCCCTCCCTCCCTGCCTGCCTCCTTCCTTCCTTCCTTCCTTCCTTCCTTCCTTCCTTCCTTCCTTCCTTCCTTCCCTCCCTCCCTCCCTCCCTCCTTCCTTCCTTCCTTCCTTCCTTCCTTCCTATTGCTGTGGACCCGGATTGGGTGGATTATTGAAGTATACTTGACATAAAATGTACTCTTGTAAGTTAGAATGGTTTTTAGTAAATGTTAACAGTTGTGCTATGACCACGATCTAGTTTTGGAACATTTCTATCACCTCAGAAAGTTATTTGTCTATGTCAGTCCCTGCTCCCATCTCTAGTCTCTGGCAGCTACTGATCTGCTTTCTCTTTCTACAGGTTTTGCCTTAACTGGACATTTCATATAAATGGAGCCATTCAATATAAAGTCTTTGGTGTCTGGCTTCTTTCACTTAACATAATGTTTCTGAGGTTCATCCATATTGTGGTACATTTCAGTAGTTGTTCCTTTTTGTTGCTGAGTGGTACCATTATATGGCTATCCTGTATTTTGTCCATTCACCAGTTGATGGACATTTAACTGTTTCCAGTTTATGGCTATACAGATTTGCTGCTGTGAACATTCACATACAAGTCTTTGCACCTAAGTTTTCATTTTTCTTGGGTAGATACCTAGGAATGGAATTGTGAGGTCTTATGCTAAGTATATGTTTACCTTTTTAGTAAACTGCCAACTGTTTTAGAACAGTCACTGTGCTTTCCCGAAAGCAGTGTATGAGGATTCTAGTTTCTCCACATCCTTAGCAGCACCTGATACTGTTAATCATTTTTATCATAGCCATTCTAGGGGGTGCGTTGTGGTATTTCATGTTTTAATTTGCAGTTCTCTAATAACTAATGATGTTGAGAATTTTTTAATGTGCTTATTTGCCATCTGTATATCTTCTAATAGACATTTGGTGTCTATTAGAATCTTTTGCTCATGTTTTAATTGGGTTGTTTAACATTTTGTTGAGTTATAATAATTTTTTTTTTTTTTGGAGACAGAGTCTTGCTGTGTCACCAGGCTGGAGGGCAGTGGCGCAATCTCGGCTCACTGCAACCTCCGACTCCCTGGTTCAAGCGATTCTCCTGCCTCAGCCTCCCGAGTAGCTGCGATTACAGGCACATGCCACTACACCCAGCTAATTTTTGTATTTTTAGTAGAGACGGGGTTTCACCATGTTGGCCAGAATGGTCTCGATCTTCTGACCTCATAATCCACCTGCCTCGGCCTCCCACAGTGCTGGGATTACAGGCATGAGCCACTGTGCCTGGCCGAGTTGTAATAATTCTTTATATATTCTGTATACAAGTCCTTTTTATCAGATTATGATTTGCAAATATTTTTGCCGAGTCTGTAGCATGTCTTTTTATTTTCTTCATAGTGTCATTGGAAGAGCAAAAGTTTTTAACTTTGATGAAGTCCAACTTACCACTCTGTTTTTAATTCACTATAAGTTTTGTGTCATATCTAAGAAATATGTGCCTAATCCAGAGTCACAAATATTTTTTCCCATTTTTTAAAAAGTTTTAATTCATATTTAGGTCTGTGATCTGTTTTTAGTTAATTTTCGTGTGTGGTGTGAAGTGTCTAAATTCATTTTTTTCATAGAACTCCTGGATTTTTGTTTATTCAATATTTTATTTTCAATTGTAGTCAGTATTCTTAACAATGCTCAAATATTCCAATTAGGCTGACGTCTCTGTTCTTTGGATATATTCGCGTTTGTCTTTGGATACATCTGTGCTTTTCGGCTGTTCAGTGTGTCCCCCAACGTATGCCTGAAATCAACTGTCTCCATTTTTCCGCAAGACTCTCGTTCCTTTTAGTGAAGAGACCACTATGGGTGCTCACTGCTACTGGGGTAACAATCAATTCTAACCTTTCTTAGTGGACAGGGCTATGTAATACGGCTTTTTAAAATCATAAGTTTATATTGATACTTTTCAATCAGAAAAACTTTGCAATAAAACATTGCAAGTTTTATTTGTATTTCTGGTTTGCAACTTTAAAAAATTCCTTTATTGTTATTTCAGTGATGTTTAAATGAAATTTTTCTTTTTACCATCATTAAAGAATGTCTGTACCTTTTCTGGTCTACACATTTTATTTTTGTGGACTGCCCAAGGCTGTGACCATTTAACTAAGTGGGTAAGAATCCAGTGGAGTCATCAAAGAGTAAAAAGGAAAAAATAATTCCAAAACTTTGATAGAGAAAGCTACTCTCTAAAAATGCTGTGGACTAAGAAAGGACGTTTTCTCCACCTCACCCTTCTTTTTTCTTCCTTTGTAGTTTGGAATGGTCAGCTGTCATTGTGGATGAAGCTCATAGAATCAAGAATCCAAAAGCTAGAATAACAGAAGTTATGAAAGCTTTGAAATGTAGTGTCCGCATTGGCCTCACTGGAACCATTCTCCAGAACAACATGAAGGAACTGTGGTGTGTTATGGACTGGTGAGGGAAAACACTTTTTAAAAAATTGTTTCATAGTTCTTCAGCTGAATACTGTCTTGTTTGCTAATCATTAGTTTCCAAATAAAACAGTCGTTTTTCTGTTTTTAGATGTGTTTGATCCCAGATGTGTTATACAGAGTAGAGAGTCCCATGAAAACCTATCTTTATATATATATTACTCTTGGTCCCTGAAGTAAATATGCATATTAACTGCCAGTTTCATCCTCATAGTTATAACCTGAAACTATCGTAAAGAAAGAACATTCTGTTTTCTTGGCTGTTGTTTTTGTTACCATTGATAATCAAGTAATGTGGTATATCTCTTAGTTGCAAGAAGTTAGTGTTTTCTTTTTAGATAATAAAGCCCTTACATTTTTCTTATTGTCTTTATAAAGGGCTGTGCCAGGCCTTTTAGGGACCAGGACCTGCTTCAAGAAGCAGTTTTCTGACCCAGTAGAACATGGTCAGAGACACACGGCCACAAAGAGAGAACTGGCCACTGGCCGAAAGGCCATGCAGAGACTTGCCAGAAAGATGTCCGGCTGGTTTCTCAGGCGCACCAAGGCTCTTATCAAGGATCAGTTGCCTAAGAAGGAAGACCGGGTAAGAACTGCATTTGTGTATATTTGTGTATATTATTAATTTGTGGTCATATTTTTTTTTTTACTTTTTAAGAAAAAGTCTGTCTCCTGTGGTATTTTGTAAATACAGTTTTTTGCCTTTTATTCTGTATGGAAAACAATTGTTAGGCGCAGAATTTCAGAAACCATTGATTGAGCTCAGTTGTTTTCCTTACTGACTTTACTAACCTGTTAGTTAACAGGTTTATTATTAGGATACATTAAACTTATTTCTCATCAAAACTTTTTTTGTTTTTTTGATACAGAGTCTGGCTCTATCACCCAGGCTGGAGAGCAGTGGCATGATCTCGGCTCACTGCAACCTCCCCCTCCCAAATTCAAGCAATTCTCCAGCCTCAGCCTCCCGAGTAACTGGGATTACAGACGTGCACCACCACGCCTGGCTAATTTTTTTGTATTTTTAGTAGAGACAGGGTTTCACCATGTTGTCTAGGCTGGTTTCGAACTTCTGACCTCAGGTGATCCACCTGCCTCGGTCTCCCAAAGTCCTGGGATTACAAGAGGGAGCCACCATGTCTGGCCTCATCAAAACGTTTGATGCAGTTTTTCCCTAGTAAAGAAGGAAGAACTTCTCTCTCCAATGTGTTTTCTGTTCACACTTTGTCCTTCCTATACTGTGTACTGTCCACCACACTGTGTATTCTTTGGTACCTTAATTCTAGCTGTAGAACCAAAGTGGTTAAGAACTTTGCAAAAAATACATAGGTTTGTTTCTTGTAGAATGCTATTTGCAGTTACACAACTAACCTAACTTTTAGAATTTGTAGGAAAACTACATTGTTAAATTGTTAAGAAAATATGAGGAGTGGACTTCAAAAGGAGTTTTAAAAAATGTAATAGTCTTCTTTTATAGTTCTTAACCTTGTGTTTCTTCTAGCTTGGGCAATGGAGTAAAGGTTCTATAAATTACTATGGAACTAAACCTAATTAATGTTGTCCCAAATAAGGGCAGTCCTATGAAATGCCCTCTAATTTTAGTATATCCTCTTGATTGTTTCTTTAAAAAAATAGATTTGAAAGGAAAATATGATATTGATATGCAAGTTGGGGAAATAGATACATCTGACTTTTGATATTTATCTAAAGCAAATATTGTTATTAAATTGAGATACTTCATGAACTCTCACTTTTAAAAATGTTTTATGCAACTTCGTATATGTGATTTAGCTATCCATCTAGTAGGAACAATACAAAAGTATTAGAAGAGAATTATGCATAGAGATTTAGAGCTGGGACTCGGAAATCAAATACTATTTGATTAGAGTATTTGTGACTTGGAGCTTCTCTGCTTAGAGTTTTTTGACTTGGAGCAATTTGTGAGGCCCTGGAATCTGGGTTTCTTCCTCTGTTAAATGGTAGTGATGATAATAGTGCCTGCCTCACGTGGTTGCTCTGAAATGCATGACACATAAGAAATATTAAGTAATTGGTACTATGTTTAATAATAATAAATAGCTCAAGATACCTTCGTGCTTCCGTCGTTGACCACCATCTTCTATATTCTCTTTTTTTCTTATGTGTACTTTTGTATTTAAGGTTGGGGTCAAGGTGTACTAAATATTTTACATAAACATTTTTTTAAAATCTAGCATTGGGAGGGGGCAGGCCGGATGTGTGCTGCCATGCATCCTTCTTCAGTCTGGTTTGAGTCTTTAAAAAATAAAAGATAAAAATAGCTTCCAAAAGAGTTCTGGTCATCCTGGCTAAAGGAGCAGAGGAAATGGAGACAGTCAGCCCTGTAGACACGATGAGACAAGCTGAGATTAAGGTCACCATTGCAGGTCTGGCTGGAAAAGACCCACTGCAGTGTAGCCATGGTGGTGTTATTTGTCCTGATGTCAGTCTTGAAGATACAAAAAAGAGGGACCCGATGACATGATCTTTCTAACAGGACGTAATCTGAGTGCAGTTTATTTGAGTCTGCTGCCTTGAGAGAGATACTGAAGGAACAAGAAACGAGAAGGGCCTCATAGCTACCATCTGTGCGGGTCCTGCAGGTCTATTGGCTCATGAAATAGGTTTTGGAAGTAAAGTTACAACATACCTACTTGCTAAAGACAAAATGATGAATGGAAGTCATTACAGCTACTCTGAGAATCGTGTGGAAAAGGACGGCCTGAGTTTTACAAGTCGGGGGGCTTAGGACTGCCTTCGTGTCTACTCTTGGGATTGTTGAGGCCTAAGAGCCAAAGAGGTGGTGGCTCAAGTGAAGGCTCCACTTGTTCTTAAAGACTAGGGCAGAAAAATGTGACCATCAGTTAGAGAAATAAGCCATTCTCATTGTGTTTTTTAAAAACAGAAAAATGGTAGGTTAATATGCTCAGAAGCCATCGTCATTCCTGCTTTTGTGAAGTATAGTTGTGAAGTAACAACTACATAGAGATTTCTCAACCTACAAATTGTGTCTTTTTTTTTTTTTTAAGACAGAGTCTCACTCTGTCACCCAGGCTGGAGTGCAGTGGCATGATATTGGCTCACTGCAAGCTCCACTTCCCTGGGTTCAAGCGATTATTCTGCCTCAGCCTCCCGAGGAGCTGGGACTACAGGTGTGCACCACCATGCCCGGTTAATTTTTGTATTTGTAGTAGAGACAGGGTTTCACTGTATTGACCAGGCTGGTTTTGAACTCCTGACCTCGTGATCTGCCTGCCTCCCAAAGTGCTTGGGTTACAGGTGTGAGCCACAACGACCGGCCTGTGTCTATATTTCTGAGCCTGTTTACAGAATAAACAGGGCATTTCGGGGAAAAAAAAAAACTAGCATTGTTTTATATAGACATTACTGTATTTGCTTGTATGCACCTTTGCCTATTTATTGCCAATAATCTGTTATAGTGATATAAGCATATAAATATTTGCAAATATTTATATATTTATATTTTACAAATATAAAAAAATGCTTTGTCCCTGAAGTCAGGAAGTGCCTTGCCAGTAAAGGACTACCTTTTAAAGTTCTGTTGATACTGGATAATCCTTGTGGCCACCCAGAACCCCATGCCAAAGGCATTGAGGTGGTCCCCTTGCCCCCAAACACAACATGTCTAATTCAGCTTCTAGGTGAGAGGATCGTAAGGACCTTCAAGGCTCATTATACCTGGTCCACTATGGAAGGGATTGTCAGTGCTATGGAGGAGAACCCTGATAGAACATCATGAGTGTCTGGAAGGATTACGCCATTTGAAGATACCATCGTTCTTATAGAAAAAGCCGTGAAAGCCGTCATTCCTAGAATAGTAAATTCCTGCTGGAGAAAACTGTGTCCAGATGTTGTGCATGACCTGACAGGATTTACGACAGAGCCAATCAAATAAATCATGAGAGGCAAAAAAGGTGAAGCATTCCAAGCGACGGATCTTGGAGAAATTCAAGAGCTAATTGAGAGAAATTCAGGATACCACACCAGAGGAATTAATTGAAGATGACTTGATGCAAATACGTGCTTTCAAACCAGTGCCAGACGATGAGGAAGAAGACGTAGAAAAAGCAGTGCCAGAAAACACTGACACTAAATAATCTGGCAGAGGGGTTCTGATTATTTGAGACTGCTTTTGACTTCTTTTATGACATGGACCCTTCTATGATATGGGCACTGAAACTAAAGCAAATGGTGGAAGAAGGACTGGCACCGTATAGAAACATTTTTTAGAGCGATGAAAAGCAAAAATGTCAGACAGAAATTACAACATGTTTCTGTAACGTTACACCAAGTGTACCTGCCTCTCCTGCCTCCCTTGACTTCCTTTTCACTTCCTTCACCTCTTCATTTCTGCCACCCATGAGAAAACAAGACCAGCCTCTCCTCTTCCTTGTTCTCCTCAGCCTGCTCAATATGAAGCCCTTTATGATGACCAACTTCCACTTAATGAACAGTAAAGATATTTTCGCTTTTTTATGATTTACTTAGTAACATTTTCTTTATAACATGTTCTTTTTTTCTAGTTTTATTGTAAGAATATAACATATAATAGATAATACAAAGTAGTGTTTTTCAACTATTTATGCTGTTGTTAAGGCTTCCGGTCAACAGTAGGCTATCAGTAGTTATGTTTTTGGGGAGTCAGAAGTTATACATGGACTTTTGACTGTGTAGGGAGTTAGCACCCTAGCAACATCCATGTGCAAGAGTCAACTGTGTAAGGAACATCATTTGTTCACATTATGATTTTTTTTAATTAAAATAATTCTATGAGGTTTATTTGAAAATGAAATTATACTTTATATTATCCAGGGTGGGGTGGAGAGCAAAGAATATAAGAGAATCGAGAGAAATCATCATAATGATGTAGAGGGGAAAAGTTAGTTTATAGCAATTTTCACCTTTTTTTTTTTTTTTTTTTTTTTGAGACAGAATCTTGCTCTGTCGCCCAGGTTGGAGTGCGGTGGCGTGATCTCAGCTCACTGCAACCTCTGCCTCCTGGGTTCAAGCGATTCTCCTGCCTCAGCCTCCCAAGTAGCTGGGATTATAGGCGTGTGGCACCACGCCCAGCTAATTTTTGTACTTTTAGTAGAGATGGGGTTTCACTGTGTTGGCCAGGATGGTCTCTATCTCTTGACCTTATGATCCACCCACCTCAGCTTCCCAAAGTGTTGGGATTACAGGCGTGAGCCTCTGTGCTGGCCAGTTTTCACTGTTATAATCTGTGAAATAGATGTAGATTATTATTTTTATTATTGCTATAAACAAAATACTAATAACCACCTTGTATTTTATCTTGGCAGATGGTGTATTGTTCTTTGACAGATTTCCAGAAAGCTGTCTATCAAACAGTGTTAGAAACAGAGGATGTGACTTTGATACTTCAATCTTCTGAGCCTTGTACCTGTAGGAGTGGCCGAAAAAGGAGAAATTGTTGTTATAAGGCAAGCATTTCAATATATCTTTATAATCATGCTTTTGATACATAGTACTCTGTTCTAGTGTAAAAGAAAGTAGCAGATAATAAAATACCTTTTCCTCAGATAGTTCTTTAAAGCTGTATCTTAAAAAAATAGTTTTCAAAAAATTTTACAGTATCAAATAGTAATCACATATACAATATTCAAATATATTTTCAAAAAGTTAATTTCAGAAAGTAAGCTTAATTTTGATATTCTCCATTTTAGCTTTTTTTAGGAAGTATCCTTTCGTTTTGAAATTTCATTTCATTTTCGAGAAGTTTCTCATCCACTAATAGTAAACGAACATACTATTATATAGCAGGCTTAAAATGCTATTCTGATGTTAGATATAGTGTCAATTTAATAGAAACTGTATATCAAAGAAAGGGTTTTTTTTTTAAGAAACAAAATTTATTTGTACTTTTTTTAACCTTCTGTCTGTATTTCCTGGTCATGTTTCACCTCTGTTTTATTAAATTATCTGTCACATATCTGTGTACATAGAGGAACCCTAAGTGAATATTTATCTAGTTTGATATTTATTTGGTCTCGTTTAATATTTTGCTGTTTTTAACTACTTCCCTTTTTTGTAATAGCCCAGTTTCCTAGGAGCGTTGGAGCGTAAATGAGACGGGGTCCACATAGCACTGCCACTGCACTGTAGATTTCATTACCAGGCACCTCCTAATGGCAGCATTTCCATCACTGTGTGTCATGAGGATACTTTCTGTAATAAGGATTTTCTCCCTTTAGGAAAAATATCATTGTATTATGATTTACCAGAAGTATGATTCCACATTAGTGATTTGTGGATATTTTGTGCAGTAGTTGACCATCATTTTCTTGAAATTCATTGTACCGAAGTAACCAGATAATAAATATTGTTGTATGTGATATATCTTATGATGTAAGCAGGTGCATAGCTATGTTGGTCCTTTTTATCTTCTATATTTTTCTGGTTACAGACCAATTCTCATGGTGAAACAGTGAAAACCTTGTATCTCAGTTACCTTACAGTCCTTCAGAAGGTTGCTAACCATGTCGCGCTACTGCAAGCTGCTAGTACTTCCAAACAACAGGTTTGGTTGGCATTTTACATTTCTTTGTGATGCTATTGTTGTAAATATTTCATAAAGTTTTAAAATAGTTATTAAATAATGTTTTTGTGGATGAAATTTAGGAGGAAACTCATTTGCTCATTTTTAAGTGTCGATGTCAAGGAGTATGTGCACTTAAGTTTTTAATCAAAGTGAACAAATTTAAGCTTAATTTAAAATAAGAACTATTTTTTATGCCTTTAATAATGTTCATATCTTTATTTTTCAAAACATTCTTTGGTATAATTACTAAATAACATATTTGATGAGTCAGTTCTATTCCTCTAATAATGTCTGTAATGGTATTTAATCTACTGGGTAAAATGAGGATTTACAGTAATTTGTATATTAAATATTAGGGCTGTTTACCGAACTGGCAAAAGTTGGTAATTTCAAAGTTTAGGTTTAAACTCAATCATTTACTGTGGTTGTTTCCTTTTATTCTAGAGCACACAAATGAAAAGATGTTTTTGTAATGATTTTATATTTTTTTCTATGTTATAGTTGATGCCATTTAAATGTAATTTTGAAATCTCATAAGAATTTGATATTATTCTTTGATAGTACTCTTCACTCTTTTTGGGAGTATTTAGCACCTTGTTTTGGAAATCTTAAAAAATCTTTTGAAAAGTAATGATCAAGTTAATAACCACATCATTAAGAATTCAACGCCATATATGCTTAACATATTACTTTAAGAGTTTTTGAATTCTTAGTCTGACTTAGGGAAGCAAAAATCTTCGAAGTAGTATATTCTTTCTAAGAAGAATTTTTTTTCATAAATTATTTCAATTCATACAGGTTTGAATGTGTTAAGTGGAAATATCTTTTCTTCTGCCTTTTCCCTTCAAGGAAACACTTATCAAAAGGATATGTGATCAGGTATTTTCCAGATTCCCAGATTTTGTGCAGAAAAGCAAAGATGCAGCCTTTGAAACACTTTCTGACCCTAAATACAGTGGAAAAATGAAGGTAAGTGCTCCTCTTGCAGGTTGCATACAGACATGGTACGCAAAATATTTACTCAGTGGTATGACAGAGACACCAGCTAATCGGAACAGGTGCTCAGTCATTCAAGAAGAGATAGTGGCTTTCGACAAGTGGTGCAGTTATATCAGCATTTACTAGGTCACTGTGAACCCCGAATGCAGATATGTGTACTCGGTAGGTCCTTTGTAGTAGTTGCTTCAAATACTTCAGATTTTCCTTATTGATATATTGGACTTAGCCCTCTTAAAATGCGTGTGCTGTTATCACGTATATAATAGCTTGTCTTCAAATGTTTAAGGAAATAACCTGCCAGAAATATAAAAGCTAATGCAAAACGGGAGTGAGGACAGGCATTAGCTTGGAATTAGAGAAAGGAATTTCTCGAAGAGTTCAAGATGGGCAAGGTCTGTATGTCTAGAATTTTCCGCATGTTGTTTTTATTTGCAGACCTAGATTGTAAAGTTGCAAATAGTCATTTATCATACACAGGAAAACTGACCTGTAGCTGTGCTGCTCTTGGTAATGTGTTACTGAGGGAGGGATGGGAAAAGTAAGGCTAAGTTCTCCAACCCTGACCCAGGCCTTGGGCATTGCCTGTGGCAGCAGCATGAAATGCTGACAGCTTCCTGCTTCCTTGTAACAACAGAGTTAGTTTGTTTAACCCCTTAATAACCATCAATAATCTTTATTTGTAGATTCACAGATTTTTACAGAACAAAACTCAACTTTGTTATAATTTTTAAAAGGTAAATTCTTTCTTTTGACATAAAAGGAATAGAAAGGAAGTAATTCAAAGTAGTTTTTGTTTTTTTTAATTGTAAAAATACTTTTAGCAATTTATCGAGATAAGTTCATCATGGTTTAGTTTGCTTGGGATCTCTAAAATCAATGAAATAAAATAGAAGGTAGGAATATACATATGTACATAAAGACTGTTGCGTTAAAACTTTTAAAAAAATGAATGTTTTATTAATGAGGATATCATGTGATTTATTATCACAACAAATAATTCAAATCTAATGATATTTCCTAAGGTAGCAAGTCAATTTTTGTCATCCATCTCTTTGACTTTAATTATTTTTAAATTAAAATATATAAAAAGTCCGGTTTAGAACTGAGCACTTACTATCCCACAGTTTAAGCCAATAGGATATTTCCAGAAATTATGGCCTCCTCTGAAAACTGCATTAGCCATTATTGCTACTCATTTAAATTTTATTCCCTGTGACTCTTCACTAAAAAATTACCAGTCTGGAAATTAAAGTTTTATAACTCTGCATTTTATATTTTTTATATATTCATTAAATATATACTTGTAAAATACACTTTTAAAGTTAATCTCCCTAGGAATAATAGTGTCTGATTAAGAGAATGATTAGATTTAATTTTATTTTAATTTTTAGGAGGGAAAAGGCAAGCATAAATTGTTGCCGGAGACTGGGTAGTATTTTTACATGTGAATGATGCAGGTAATTTACTTGCTTTGTGAGAGAGCATCCACCAAACAGATGGATAGTAATAAGCTAGGGATGTATTTTTAGTACTGTGTTAAATCATTTGACTAACAGCATCATCTGCTCATATATTGATTTGGTAATGTAAAACTTACAGGCTGATCATAGAATCATTGCCTGTTGGTTTAAGAACTTCAAGATTTGAGTTGCATGTACTTTTTGATTTCAGGTGATAAAAGATCTTTGTTTGGCTTGGCTTGTCATAGGTCAGCCCGCAGTTGCAAGGACTCTGAACAGAATGCCTGCTATAATCTTCATAGCCTCAAAGCTACACTCATGACCCCAGCTGTTTCTCTTGAGTATCAGAGTTTTGACCTCAGCTATCATTCAAGGGGTTAGTCACAAGTTGCAATCATTCACCTGATGAAAATCTTCACTTTTCTTTCTCTTGAGAAATGCTACAGAGCCACTTACTGTGGAGGGTGGGAATAAAGACTAGGAATCCAGCTTGGTGCGGCTGAAGTCACACAAGGGTCATGTTCATCTTTCTAGGCCTGACTGACCAAGTTGAGGAAAGTTAAGATCCAGGATTCCTTGCTGTTAACACCCCCAAATATACGATTCCTTTATAGGTGGATTGTCTTGTTCTGTGGAGGACAGCTGAGTGATAAAACGTTGGGTCTATATTGTTAAGACTCCAACATCTATTGATTACATTGTCATTGTGGAAATATCTGGGATCTTAATTTATAGTCGTTCATTTAGTTAGTCTCTTTAAACTAGCCTAATTAAGACCTCAAGTCTAAAAACATTTACTTTTCCTCTGACTTGTTTTTACTTTAAAATATTTGAAAACACTTAAAGTTGCAATAGTTATGATACCACCCCAAACAATAAGAATGGATTTCTATACAATATATCCTTGATTTAAAATGTTAATATCTTAAGGAGAATGAAAAACCACAGACTGGGAGAAAATATTTAGCAGAACAGTAAAGGAGTGGTTTACAAATATACAAATAACTCTTAAAGCTCAGCAATAGGAGAGCAAACAGTCCAGTTTAAAAATGAGCAAAGGGTCTGAACAGATACTTCCCCAGAGAAGATAACAGAGATGGCAAATAAGCATATGAAAAGAGGCTCAACAACGTATGTCATTAAAGAATTGCACATTAAAACAGCAATGAGATACCACTAGATACCTATTAGAACGGCCAAAATCCAGAACATTGTCATGCCCAAATGCTGGTGAGGATGTGGAGTAACAAGAACTCCCATCTGCTGCTGGTGGGAACGGAAAAACGATACAGTCACTTTGGTAGACAGTTCAGTGATTTTTCACAAAGCTCTTAACTAAAAAATTTTACCTTAAATACTCTTACCATACGATCCAGCAGTTATGCCCCTTGATGTTTACCCAAATGAGTTCAAATGAATTCATTGAGTTTTAATGAGTTAAAAACTTATATCCAGACAAGAACCTCACATGAGTTTATTCATAATTGTCAAAGCGTGGAAGCAACTAAGATGTCCTTCAGTAGGTCAATGGATTTAAAAAGCTGTGGTACAGCCATACTGTGGAGTACTATTTAGCAGTAAAAAAATGAGCCATCAAGCTACCAAAAGACATGGAAGAACCTTACATGCATATTGCTGAGTGAAAGAAACCAGTCTGATCGGCTACATACTGTATAATTCCAATTATATAGTACTATGAAAAGGCAAAATTATGGAGACAGTAAAAAGATCAGTGGTTGCCATGGATTCTGGGGGAGGAAAGGATGAGTAGGTGAAGCACAGGGAATTTTTAGGGCCATGAAACAATTCTGTATGATACTGTAATGGCAGATACATCTCAGTATATATTTGTCAAAACCCATAGAACTATGTAACCCAATGAATAAACCCTAATGTAAATGTGGACTTTAGCTAATAATAATGTATCAATATTCACTCATCAGTTGTTGCAAATATACCACACCAATACTAATAATACTTGATGTTATATTTTCTAATAATATTATTAATACAGATATTAATAAGGAAGGTGCGGAGAAGGTGGGGAGTAGGGAAGGAGGAGCTTTGTGCATTTTCTCCTCAGTTCTGTAAAGCAGAAAAAATACTATCTACCAATTTAAAAAGTTAATCTTACGTGAAACTCAAATTACATACTTCATATGGAATCAGTTGTTTTATTAAAAAATAGACTAAATGCAAATAAAACTTCATATGTTCTCCAAATATTAACGTAATGTTTACCTGATATATAACATTTTTATTTACCATTTGATTGGTTATCTGAGTAGAAGTTTTTTTTAACTCCATAGCTTTTTTTGAGGTTCTGGGGGGAGGTAGAGGTCAAAGTTAGCACAATAGCTTCTCTTGATTAATTATATTGAGTATTTTTTTTTAATTTAAAAGCTTAAATGTTTATCATTAAATAAATTGTTTCAGTGTTTGTTTCATCTTTCAGAAAAATTTTCGACTTTGTATAGAAAATTTCTTTTTCCCCTCTGTAGATTGCTTTTGCACATTGTTCTGGAGTTGTCATTGCCAGATGTGGAAATAAAAATAACAGTGTGACTTATGCACAAGGCTTTGAACTGTTTGCTTCCTTCTTAAAAGCACTGTGTGTGGGGGCAGATTACTGGCATTTTGAGGTCAAAATCAATTCTGGAAGTCAGAGCTTACTGTAAATAGGGAAACAAAGGGGAGAAAATCAGAAGAGGTGTATATCTGACTGATTATTCTAAGAAAATAAATATCAAGACTTTTAGAACCTAGATGTAATTGAACACATTTCATTACATCCATCTAGGGACAATTTAAATACTTCCTAAAAGGAATGCTGCTCTATAATTTAGTTTCTTAACATATTGTAGGTATAAAGAAAGTGTATTTTGGAAATTAAATTAATCCATTTAAATGCATCCCATAATCTAAAATGCTTCCTTTTTATTAAAACCAGATGAGATGAAATAAAAGTCTTTGGGAACTTTACCTCCTTATTGACAATATGATGATGAATAACATTTGATGTAATAGCTAATACTTTATTTCTCTAACTTGGAAAAAATGAAAGGAATTAGAAAAGATGATTGAGGTTAGTATTGTATGAAAATAATTTTAAAGAAATGCTCAAGTGATGTTTGTATGTATAAAGTGTGCTTTTAGTTGGAACTGGTTCACTGATTTTTGTGGTTCGTTTTCAGGTCCTTCAGCAGCTTTTAAATCATTGCAGGAAAAACAGAGATAAAGTTCTTCTCTTTTCTTTTTCCACCAAGGTGAGTTTCATCTAAAGTATATCCTTGATTGGCCAGCCCTAACTTTTGAAGCATAAAGAATAAAGCATGTGCCTACATGACACCTTATAGCCACATTTTCTCTTACCTACACAGTAGGAAATAGTGAGGCAAGCAACTTAAAGTTTTTAAACAGACACTAAAATTTCAATTGTTTTAGGGTTGCCAAATATCAAACTCAAAGATAGATTTTTATTTTCTGTTGATGTTCTTAATAATTACAATGTTCTTTAAGACATTTCAGATATTTTAGAACTTAGAAAATAGCACACATATATTTACGTAAATGATTTGATCAGTAATATTGTTTGTTTCTTAAACATGAAAAGATTCACATGTACCCTAAAACTTAAAGTATAAAAAAAAAAATGAAAAGATTGATTTTTAAAACAAGTTCTGAATGTTAAAGCCGTAATGTTGCAGGATAACGGGATATAAATATATATAACGGGATAACGGGAATAAATATATGAGAAAAATATTTATTGCTCTTGGAATTGTAAGAAAGAAATTATGAACATCAATAATTAATACTTATCAAGTCTCAACTTTGTAATGGTCTGAAACTTACTTAACCAAGATTCATGTTTGCCCATCTTCATACCTCTCCTTTAGTTGCTTGATGTGCTACAGCAGTACTGTATGGCGTCTGGGCTTGATTACCGACGACTTGATGGAAGTACAAAATCAGAGGAAAGACTCAAGATTGTAAAAGAGTTCAACAGTTCACAAGATGTTAACATTTGCCTTGTCTCTACAATGTAAGAAAATTAAATTCAATAACTTGATTTTTATCCAGTTACTTTTGAGATTTAGGGTAATTTTTAAAACTATTACTAGATTAATTTTTAATGGCTATGCTTATTTAGCAGCAGCAAAAATACTATTATGACTGAAATTTCAATATCTTAAGTTTTAGCTAAGCTTTTCTCTCATTTCCTTTATCAACATTGAATTCCCCTGAGAAGTGTGGGTTTATAAAGGTAAAAATTTAAAAATTGATATTTCCTCCTATGAATTTTCTATGGTAATGTTTTGACCCAAGTCTCCTGGTGAGAATAATCAGACTTCTTATTAACTGGATAACTGAGACTCACTGTAGCAGCAGTTTTCCCACCGTGTCAGGGAGCCCTTGAGAGCCCACTGGGGCTAGGGGCTCGCGTTTCCCTCCTCTGCCTCTACCTCATCTCAACTGGAGCAGCTCTGCAGTTAAGAGATTTTATGAAAGGTAAATTGGTTCTAACCTCTAGGTGTGAATATCCCTTTAAGACCTTTTAGAGACTGTACACACTTCTGAAAAGATTTAAATCAACATAAACACCTAAGTAAGATTAATCCCATTTTAGGAAGGAACAGAACAAAAACTTTTGATATCCTGTGTAATAAGAATTTTATAGATTCACTGCCACTGTCTTTCAGAATTTCAATGGACTTTAAAAATAAACATGTAAAATGCGCAAAGTAAAAATTAAATCAAAATAGAAATTAACTTAAAATGAAGAATAAAATATGTTTATGAATGGGCTAACATTGTTGAGCACTTTAACTATTCTTGAATTCCCACCATTAAGGCAAATGGGGAAAAGCTTTGGATTCCCATTTTCCTGTAAATGAATGCAAGAGGTTATTTTTTGCACGCGTCCTTACATACAGAGCACTAAATGACATAGATTACTGTGTTCAATTAAATTTCGTAAAACACATACGCATTGTAACTTTAAAGTGTTTCCAGTTGATAGATGCACTAAACAACGGTTCCAATAATAGACTCTAATGACAAGCAGTCGTCTCTCATCTTCTGCTCACTTCCAGCTCATTTGCTGAGATCTCCATAAAGCTCCTAATTATTCCTTCAGCTCTGTCAGAAATTGCTATTTAACCTATCCATTGAGTTTTTTATTGTAATCATACTTTTAAAAACGTCTTTTTGGATGGCATTTTTGCTCTATCTGTTAACTCCTGTACTTGGGGAGCTGATCCTTCTGTTTGTTGTTTCCTCTGGCTCTTGCTTATGGGTAATGGCTTCTTCATGTTTGGTCACTTTTTTCTTTTGAGCTTATCTTCAGTGGTGTTTTTTCTTCTGGAAATCCTTTGGAGACCGGTTGTAGGAGTTTTCCACTTGTGTGGTTTTGCTTTGGCTTCTGCTGGGCATCCTGACAAGACAAGGGAAAGAGTTTTGGATTCCTGTTTTTCTGTGACAATTTGAATAATTTATTGCATAAGTCATTACATAAGGAACCTTGCATAATATAACAAATACATTCTTCAGCTGTGTTTTGCAAAAGACACATAAGCTCAGTTTTTGTTTTGTTTCTATCATTTCGCAAGGGTTTATATTTAATATCTGTTGTAACAGAAGTGTTTTCACATTAGCTTAGCCATTATCTTGCCAGAGTACAAAGTCTTCATTATGTTTTAGTTTATCAACTTTACATAACTTGGAACTTCTCTTAAGCAAGAGTATTAGGCTACTTTCACTACTCTGTTCCCCTTTTTTCTCGCAATGTTTGCTATTTTAAAATTATTATTTGTCTATAAACTACTTTTGTAACTTTCAATCTTTGCACTTCTGCCTTAGATCCATTGAATTTCCTCTTAGATCTTTTTTTCTGGATTCTGTGTCTTCTTTCTTGGTTTGCTGCCATATTTTACTGGAAAATGATTCAAGTTTTGATGTTCGGTCTGTTAACTTTCTACATGCCTTCTAAGTCTTTGTAATGTGTGGTATTAGCACTAGCACACACTCACCCACCCTTCTACTTTTGTCACCTGTACGTATTGTCTGTTAACTGTTTTAATTTTTACATTGTCAAGGGTATTAATGTTTTCAGTAAGTCCTGTACCAATAAACAGTTATTGTCCATAGGTCGGCTCTAAAATGTGGAGGCAAAAACAGCGTTTACATTACTATGTTTTAATAAACTAAGCATCTTTCATGCAGGAGCAAGTAGTGCTATAAGATAATTTATCTGAATGTTCATGACCTGTTGGTCAATTCAAGATTAGTCTTAACATCAACCTCATATAACTTCTCTTTCCTAAGACTTCATCCATGTTTTATGTTTGCACTGTTCAGTTCACTTCAAATTTCAATCATGACTTTTTCAGTCTTTTCCCCCCCTCAGTCTGTTTTTGCCCTTTGTAATAATCCTCAATGTTACTAATTCTCATTCACACATTCTCTTCTGTCGAGTCCTCTGTATCCTGAACCTGCCTCCTGAAACCTGTATTCCTTGGTTTCAGTCTGTCCCAGTTGTTTTCTAGGCCTGATAAAGAACTGTCATGTTGGAGCTTTCTTTCACTGCTCTTCTGCATTGGATCTTTTTCCTAAGTTCCATGCTGTTTTTATTCTTGACTTGCCCCTTTGTTTTCCTAGGAAATACCCTCCGGTAACTTTTTAAGCCAGAATATAGAGGAATTAAATTTTATGCATCTGTAAATATAGAAAATGTATTTTATTGCTCTGTCACTTGATACTTTGTTGGACTATATAATTCTGAATCAAAAATCATTTCCTCTTAGATCTTCGAAGGGCTTGCAGCGTTGTTTTCTGATAGATGGTATGGCTAAATGGATGTGCAGTGCCAATCTGATTTTCATTCCTTTTTGGGAACTCGTAAGAGTTTTTCTTCATCTACGGTATTCTAAAATTTCACGGTGATATTTGAGTCTTAGTGTGGATCTTTGTTCATTTTTTATGCCAGGTACAGTAGGCTTGTATTCTGAAGGCTTATGGTTTTTTTTTCAACTCTGGAAAATGCTGTTTTATATTTCTTTAACAATGACTTTTTTTCCTTCCTTTTTCTCTGCTCCCTTCCTCTTGCATGCCAGGTCGTCAGACTTTCAAGCTTTCAAACTATGTTGGTTCTTTAAATCTCTGAACTTTTCTATCAGATTTTGTCTTTTTGCTCTGTGTTCTGAGAAATGTCAGTTTTTGATCTTATTTTGTTTGAAATGATCACTTTTTTTTTTAAGACGGAATCTCACTCTGTGGCCCAGGCTGTAGCGCAGTGGTGCGATCTCAGCTCACTGCAACCTCCGCCTCCCGGATTTCAAGCAATTCTCCTGCCCCAGCCTCTCGAGCAGCTGGGACTACAGGCCCGTGCCACCACACCCAGCTCATTTTTGTGTTTTTAGTAGAGACAGGATTTCACCATATTGTCCAGGCTGGTCTTGAGCTCCTGACCTTGAGATCTACCTGCCTCGCCTTCCCAAAGTGCTGAGATTACAGGTGTGAGCCACCAAGCCCAGCCATCACATTTTTAATCTAAAGTTTTTCTTGCTTTCTGACCTCTTTTGTTTTTGGAGTTACCTTTTGTTTAAAACATCAATGTGTTAAATTCTAGCTTTTTGTAGTCATTTGATTCAGTTTATTTAAAGAATGATCATCTGGCATTTTTCCTGGGGTTTGTTTTTTTGGTTTTGGAGAATCAGTAAATTTATTAATAAGTTTGAAGAAGATTGGAGGTTTTAAGATATGAAGCTGCCCTATCCATAAACATAGTATCTCTTTATATTTATTTAGGTTTTCTTAGAAGCAGTGTTCAAATGGATACTTCGTTTGACCTTTTATAATACTTAATACATAATAATACAGCTTACTTCGTCAGAGGCATGTCCGCAGAACATTAAGATGTGGTGAAGGTGTGCTTTCTGTCAGAGGCATGTCCGCAGAACATTAAGATGTGGTGAAGGTGTGCTTTCTGACAGAGGCATGTCAGCAGAACATTAAGATGGTGAAGGTGTGCTTTCTGTCAGAGGCATGTCATAAGAACATTAAGATGTGTAGTGAAGGTGTGCTTTCTGTCAAGAGCATGTCAGAACATTAAGATGTAGTGAAGGTGTACTTTCTGAGAACATTAAGATGTGGTGAAGGTGTGCTTTCTGTCAGAGGCATGTCTGCAGAACATTAAGATGTGGTGAAGGTGTGCTTTCTGACACACTTATCGATGCGGGAAGAGCATGTGACACACCTAAGGAATAAACAGCCTGCATACCCGTTAGCTGGCTCAAAGACCAGTCCTCAGTTTGAAAAGAGCAATGTTCAATTTTTTTTTTTGCCTAACAAGTAAGCTTTTGCTGTTAACCAAGTAAGAACAGAGTGACAAGTTTTAAAGTTTAGGTTTGTGAGTTGTATTATCATCAAACGGAGAATTATCTCATCTGCAGAGAGTGAGTCTAGGGCTTTTTTCTTCTTCTTTAACGGGAGCTTTGCTTCTTCAGCAAGGACCGAAGTTATAACTTCAGAATATCTTGGAAGATTGCTGCCTCAACTAGTAGAGATCTTACCTGTGGCTCCTATATGGCATCTGAGATGGCATCATACATGGTTATGCCTGACCTTGCCATCAAGAAGGTAGCTGGAATAGGATTATATTTATTCGGCATATAAACCTTTAACTTCTTTTCTGCTTTTTTGGTTTTAAGATATGGTTTGGTGTCTAAATTCCACCCAATCCCCTAACTTACCCATTTTTTTTAATCCTTTCTAGTACTTTCTCCCTATCCCACCTCACTCTTTTCTTAGAGTTTAGGTCTCTATGATGTCTTCATGGTGTGTCTAATAAGCCGTTTTCCAAAGGAGAAAATTCAGTTTCCACTGAGCACTGAGCTTCAAATCAGGACATTTGGGTTTGAATCGAGACACTTGCTACTTAGGAGATCTTGAACAAATTAGTTTTTCTGGTCTTCAATTTCCTCGCCTGAAAAATCAAGATATTTTGCTTATAGAAGTCTTTAGAACAGGCCAGGTGCGGTGGCT